CCCTCTCTCACCAAACAGCCTGAGTCAGGCCTCCCCGGCTCCTCCTTGGCCTGCAGCCCGGGGTGGACATCTCCTTGGATCGCGGGAGGCACCAACGCTGTCATCGTCCGCAGAACCACAAGGCCTGCTTTCTCATAAGCAAGTCTTACTCCTGCGAAGGAGTGTCACACGCATCTTCCTCACGTGCGGAGGAGGCCACGTCCCCCAGAGCCCTGCTCAGGCTGCAGGCCGCTCCCTGACGGCGTCGGTGTCGGGGGTGCAGGTGTCGGCCTCCCTGGCGCTCAGCACCAAGTCCATTGGCCGTGACTCTGACCAGTATGAGGCTGGGCAGATGGACTCGACTCGGAGCCCCGCTCCTGGGTAGCGGGGTTCCCAGGACACCCCCACGCCCAACTGCCACTCTCCTAACTGCCGTCGGAACTCTGCTCTGTCCTGGGGTGAGCGCTGGCCGGGGAGCCCGAAAGCGTTTGGAGGGCCAGGTGAGAGCTTCCTTTTGTGACTTGGGCACCAGCCCCTATAGTTTCGAGAGGAAAACTCGGCTGCCTTTGGTTTTTGTTTGTTTGGTGTTGGCTTCAGAGCTTTGAAGCCTGTGCTGCCTCTCGCCCTTCTGATTTGCAGGATGTCCGGGGAAGAAATGCACTTCGCTATCTGAGCATCGTTGGGTGTGAAGACGCTCTGCAGAGGAGCTCCAGACTTGGTAAAAAAAAAAGAGAGAGAGAGAGAGAGAGAGAGAAATATTTTTCTCTTCAAAATGCAAATATTTCTTTTTTATATAAATAATAAATGCACATTATAAAAATGTATACAATCCAGAGGCATTCCCCACCTCTGCTGTGTGACTAGAGACAACCACATTAATAGTTGGTAGTATATCTTTTCAGTCTCTGGAAATGTGTGCATCTTACTAAATATTATTCTATAATCTGGCTGCTTAAATTCAAAAGTATACAAAAGTGAACTTTCCAGCCCATATATATACCTGCATTTTCCTGGCTGAAATTAACTTCACCATTCCCTAATATTGGGTAGTTAGCCTGTTTTACATTTCTTTCCGTTACAAACAGTGAATGATGTAATGAACTCCCTTTTACATGTATGGCTGCCTATTTGTGTGGGTATATTTATGGGATAAATTCCTACAAATGTACCTAATGGGTCTAAAGTAAGGCACATTTTGAGTTTTGGTAGATGCATCTAAATTACTCACCAAAAAGGCTTACACACCTGCCAATTCCACATTGCCAAGGCCCACCATAGTTGTAGGGGTTATGGAAATGGCTTAACTTCTTTTAAAATCAGGAGAAAATATAATACCAATGACTTTATAATACACAATAGATCCAGACTGGATTGCATATTTTATATACCAGTGCAGCTATAAAGTATACTTTTTCATTTTTTTAAAATATATTTTATTGATTTTTTACAGAGAGGAAGGGAGAGGGATAGAGAGTTAGAAACATCGATGAGAGAGAAACATCTATCAGCTGCCTCCTGCACACCCCCTACTGGGCATGTGCCCGCAACCAAGGCACATGCCCTTGACCAGAACCGAACCCGGGACCCTTGAGTCCGCAGGCCGACGCTCCATCCACTGAGCCAAACCGGCCAGGGCTTTCATTTTTTTTTTTTAATGGAGAGGGAACCCATGAAGGCCAATGTGCACAGGGCCTGCAAGTCACAGTGTGGCCCTGGGTTACCCATTTCTCCACACCCCTGCAACTCTGAGAATTATTTTTTTAGTTTTTGCTAGTCTTTTATGCAAATAAAAAAAACATGCCGTTTCACAATTGTTTCTACCTGCACTTCTTTGGTTATTTGTGAGGTAAGTATGTATGGTCACCTAAGTTTGCTGATCATTGAAATGTCCTTTATGAATTGCCTATTTATGTTCTTATCTCATCTTTCTATTCAATTGCTCATCTTTTCGTTGTTAAAAATTTTGCATTCTAGATTTACTGGTATCTTTTTGTCATGATTTTGGAAGGTTTTCTATACCCCAAATCTGTCAGGCATTTCTTTATGGTATCACCAGAGGCCTGGTGCATGAAATTCGTGCATTAGTGGTGGTGGTGGGGGCGTCCCTAAGCCCCGCTTGCACTCTCTCGCAGTCTGGGAGCCCTTGGAGGCTGCGCTCATCTGCCATGAGCCTGGCTTCTGGCTGAGCGGCGCTCCCCCATGGGAGCGCACTGACCACCAGTGGACAGCTCCTGCATTGAGCACTTGCCCCCTCCTGGTCAGTGCACATCATAGCAACTGGTCGATCAGTTGACTGTCTGCCCCCTGCTGGCAGTGCACGTCATAGCAAGCGGTTGGGCAGCTTTAGCATATCATTAGCATATTGCCCTTTGATTAGTTGAACTGACAATCATCTGACTGGGCACTTAGCGTATTAGGCTTTTATTATATAGGATTCTTACAAGGGCTTACACAAATATTCATTGATATTTTCTTATAGAATATCTATGGCTATTATTATTTATGATAGTATCTTTAATTCATCTGGAATGCTTTTTGTAAAAGATGTGAAATAGTTACTAATCTTTGTTTTCCAGCATCTTGGGACAATAACTTAAAATATCACTTTTATCAAATATTAAATTCTCATTATACATGACTCTATTTTTTGAATCTCTTTCATCCCATTGATCCATTCATCCATTGTTATGCAAACTCCACACTTTTTTTTTTAATCTTCACCTGAGGATATTTTTCCGTTGATTTTTAGAGAGAGTAGAAGAGAGAGGGAAAGACAGAGAAAGACATCGATGTGAGAGAAACACATTGATTAGCTGCCTCCTGCACATGCCCTGACCAGGGCCCAGGCTGGTGAGGAGCCTGCAACCCAGGTACATGCCCTTGACAGGAATCAAATCCGGGACCCTTCGGTTTGCAGGCCAATGCTCTATGCACTGAGCCAAACCAGCTAGGGCCACACTTTTAATTGCATAACTTTAGGATATTTTGATTTCTGGTAAGGCAAATCACTTCTCCTCTTTCAATTTTTCTTTTGATTATTCTCATACATTTACTCTTTTTGATGAACTTTACATTTTTAAATTACATTTTCAAGTACTGAAAAAAATCCCAATAAGTTTTGTAAAACTTTACAGATTGATTTGAGAAGGGACATCTTTACAAAACGTCTGCCTCTCCAAGAGCATGGTTGTTCAGACCTATTTACACACATTCCCTGTTTTGTCTAAGCCCTGGCCATCTCAGCCGTCTCCTTTTCAGACTCCTCCTTGGCTCTCTTTGGGGCCAAGAGGCCAGCAGCAGGGGCTTGTCTAAGTCTTCTTGTCCCCAGGAGGCTCATGGGGACCTTCTCTTTTGCCATTTTTGCCCTGTTTAGTACTGGTTTTCTAAGAACTGTGTTCCGCTGCAAACCACCGTGGCAAAGCCCACCATGATCTCCTCTGGTCTCTCTTTTTAAAAAAATACATTTTTATTGATTTCAGAGAGAAAGGGAGAGGGAAAGAGATAGAAACATCAATGATGAGAGAGAATCATTGATTGGCTGCCTCCTGCACGCCCCCTACTGGGGATCAAGCCCACAACCCCTGCATGTGCCTTTGACCAGAATCGAAGCTGGGACCCTTTAGTCCGCAGGCCAATGCTCTATCCACTGAGCCAAACCAGCTAGGGTGATTTCTGGTCTCTCTGCTTCCACTTTTGCCTCCTTTGGCTCATTCTCCACGCTGGGCCCAGTGTAATCTCTCTTGTCAACTCCCTGTGATCCCCTCTTGGGAACCCCATAGTGATTCCCTGTTCTATTAGTTACTTATTGCTGCTGTAACAAATTACTACAAACGTAATGCCTTAAAACAATGCTTACTTCTTGTCTGGGAGTCAGAAGTCCAAAATCAGTCTCGCTGGTGTAGAATCAAGGTGTCAGTAGGGCTGCATTCCTTTCCGGGGGCTCTGGGAGAGGATACGTTTCCCTCCGTTTCCAACTTCTAGAGGCCGCCTGCATTTCTTGACTCATGGCCCCTTCCTTCATCTTCAAAGACAGCAACTGCATCGCTCTGACCCCTGCTTCTGTTGTCATACCTCCTTCTCTGGCTCTGGTCCCCCTGCCTCCCCCTGGTAAGTATGATCATAAGAATCACCCCTGTGATTCTACTGGGATCACCCAGATAATCCAGGATCCTATCCCACCTCAACGCTCTTAACTTAACCGCATCTGCAACTTTCCTTTTGCCACGTGAGGTACCATATTCATAGGTTCCAGGGATTAGGACGTGGACATTACTCCGCCTACCACAGCCATGGCCTTGCCAGCCCATCAGTGACCTGCCCCACTGGTCCTCTGCTCAAGCCCATTCTACTCTCCCCTTTGAACTCCCTGCTCCAGCCACATGAACTTTTAATTTCTGAAACCTGCCCTTTCTGCTCCTCCAGTCCTGGCCCAGGCTGACTCTGCTGCCTGGCAAACCTTTCCCCGCCTCTTCACCTGACTAACTCCCACTCATCTGCAGCCTTGGCTTTTTCTGGAAGCTTCCGACAACCTCTTCTACTCCTTGCATGTTCTTCCAGACTTTGTTAGAGGCTGCAGTGCCATCCTCCATGGTTCCTGGCCCCAAAATACTATTGTTTGTTTGGTTCTCTTCTCTTCCACATGTAAGCTCTCAGAGGGCAGAGGTGAGTGATAAGGGCAGCTCCGCACTTGGCACAGAAGAGGGAACTTAAACTCCTTGCCGAATGAATGTAATTTCACAATAGAATGCAAGTAGTCTTACTCCATAGGTGTCATCTTAAAAGCGTTCATCATTCAGTCAATGAGTGCTGACTTTGTAAGTACTGAGCCATGGGGGCTAAAATAAGGGAAAAACATTTGAACGTTACGGTTGCAGTGGTATGACCATAAGGACCCGAATAACCATCTTCCCCTTCAGGGAAATGGACTTGGAGGTCAGCGAGCCAGTAGACTTCAGTACCGGAGATCACCAGCATCTGGTCCGGAAAGCAGGAGACGATAGCGCCCAGCCCGAATCTAAAGAGACCAAGGCAACGCCACCTTCACCTGGGCCCAAGCAAACACATGGGAAACCAAAGCCAAAGACCGACCAGCGAGCGGATTTTTACGTGGTGGAAATTTCAGATGAGACCACCCCTGAAGAGAGCAATGCTGAAGCCAGCCCATTCTCAGAAGCATCTATCCGCAGAGGTGAGAACAAAGACATTTCCTCTCTGGGAGAGAAAAGCAAATGTTCTCTTAAAATGTTTCCACAGAAAGATTGAATTTTGCTTTTAGTTTTTCCCAGCCAGGCTTTTCCATGAAACATGGGGTAGGGCTGCTGTGGATAGACCACCCCAAAGTTGTCCAGAGCATTCAGAAAATCCTAGCAAACGTATTATAGTGAGAAGCGTGTGGTTTTCTTAGGAATTATGAATTAGTCATTGATGGTTGAATGTCCTTACCTGTATACAATGTGAATACCATAGTATTGGCTTCAGTTTTAAAGAATATGAATTCAATGCCTTACACATTAATTCTGTACAGGAAGTACATTTAGCTGTGAGTAAAGAAACTTAAAAATGGTGGCTTAGTAAATAAATGAGAAGTATTTTTCTTTCATGAAATATGAAGTTCAAGGGTAAAAAATTCAAGGCAAATGCCGCAGGTCCCCGTGACCCCTTTGCCACCGTTAGGCCTTGTCAGGGCCTGGACAAGTTGAGCTTGAATGCCATTGCTGGCCCTCGCCCTCCTTGTGGCTGGAGAGATGCCTTTTGGGGCTCTATCTAGCCTTCCAGGTACGGAAAGAGGGAAAAAAAAAAAAGAAGAAGAAGAAAAAGAAAGAAAGAGACCACAGCTGGTCTGCCGCCCTAACAACACCAGGGCTGCCATGGATGGATAGATGCCCCAAGTGTCCTCCAAATCTGACCTCTGTTCAGAGGCTTTCCCAGAAACCACACCCAAGAGTTTCCAATTCACGTCATTGACTCCACCTGGCCCACGTGACCACCTCCCTCTGCAGTTTTTCAGTTGGGTCCATTGCCACCTGTATTGCCACCAGTAACAAGATCTGGGTTAGATAGTGAGGTAATGGGGGAGAATAGATGTCCCTGGGCAACCAGCCACCACTGCCATGGGTGCCAATCCTTTCTCCCTGGGGTTGCGCAAGGGGAAGGTCACTGCATTTAGCCCATTCGGCCCTGTAACTGAAGTGGCTGTGGATCTGTTTTTGTTCATCAGTTTATCCTATCTAATAATAGAGGAACATGGTAATTAGCCGTACCTCCGCTATCCTTCCCATTGGCTAATCAGGGCGATATGCAAATTAACT